TCCTTCCTTCCTTCCTTCCTTCCTTCTTTTCTTTTTCTTTTTTTATACTTGGTTTTTGTTTGTCTGTTTGTTTTTTGAGACTGGGTTTCTCTGTGTAGCCCTGGAGGTCCTGGAACTAGCTCTGTAGGCCAGGCTGGCCTCAAACTCAGAGATTGGCCCACCTCTGCCTCCTGAAAGGGATTAAATGTCTCTTCTTTCTTTTTAATACTGTGTTTCCACAGACAGGCCTCTTGCTGGCAAGGTCTCCCAGCAGCCTCCGGTGCCACCCCAGAGACCAATGGCCGCCCTCCCTCCCCTGCCAACAGGTCGGAATCACTCGGTAAGCCTCCTCCCTTTCTTCCAGGCCACTTTGAGTCCACAGCAATTCTTTCTTCCTGTAGACAGAAAAGGAAGTAAGCACCTTTACTGATTCTAAGTTTGTAAGTGATGGTTATGCCAGGGAATGCGCACCTTCACTTTCTGTTCTGTGGTTCAATTTTGCAGTGAGTTTCTAATTATGTGATGTTTATTAGCATTTTTTTGGTAACATAAACAACATGGACTGCGTGTATAACGAGAGACTCCCCTTCCAATATTCATTGTGCTACCCCTACTATTTAACTGTGGGAGAACCAAGTCTGGCTGACATCTGGTGTGGCCTAGGTTCCCAACCTAGGCCTTCTTCTGCAAACAGTATTTTGCCACCTGCTGGCCAGATAAAAAATTACAGGGAATGATGCCTTCAGACCAAGATTCCAATGCAGTGTAGCCAGGGAGAAATAGCGGCATCAAGCTCCATTTTCCTTCCTTTTCAGCATATAGTCCAGCTGCTGTGGAGCTCACATGAAGCTCAGTCTAAAGCAATCAGGATCAAGCCCAGTCTAAAGGAATCAGCTCTTTCTACAAGAGGCCACTGTACTTTAACAACTGTGGCAAGAGCCAAAGTGTCAGAACTAGAAAGGGAGACAGGGGGTAGAAGGAGGGTCTTGGCACATACAGAGACCTCATAGTGGTGAGAACCTCTTCTCATAAATGGCCCCTCCTGCTGGCATAGGCACCTCTGCAAAAGGACTGACTTCATGCAGCCCATTTTGCCTTTGGAGCCTGAAGATTTTCACCTCCACCTTTGGGAGGCAGGATTTGTCCAGCACATTGACAGATATTGATTGAGCAGCTACTACACACCAATTTTCTCCATGCCAGGGGAAGAACAGGGGACAGAGCATAGTGCGCCAACTTTCATAACATTTTGATAAGTACACAGATATAGAAACGATTTGAGGATGTGGTTAGGAAGGCAGAAGGCTGGGTAACATGATGGGAGGGTACAGAGCTGACACTGAGCTGGCATAAAACGAGCCAGTCATGTGGAAAGCAAAGGGAACATTCCCGGAGGAGGAAACATGGGCACAGAGGCATTTGAGAGTAGGTATGAGCTTTGGGTTTTGTGAGAACTGTAAGGAGACCCTTATACAGAGACGCTGGAAGCATCAGAGAACATAAAAATGTCTTGGAAAGGTGGGCAGGGGCATCTTGTGTAGGGCTTCACATGGGGCTCATGTTTCATTTCTGATTTGAAGGGCTGGGCAGGGAAGTTTCTGCTTGGTCCTTTGTCATGCAGCAAGTCTGTTGCATGAGAAAGTGAGGAAGTTCAGAGAGGTGACAACCCCAGCAGCTCAGCTGACAGAGGGGATGGCTAGCTGTGGGTGGGACGGGAAGATGGAGAAAGGGGAGCCAGACACATCTGGGGAGACAGTGCCACCAACTCTAACAGAGGCCAATGTGGAAAGGCTTCCCAACATTTGGATTTTTTTTTTTAATTCCACGCAGCCACTGTCTCCACCCCAACCCAACCATGAAGAGCCCAGCAGAAGTCGAAACCACAAAACAGCAAAATGTAAGCACAAGGTTGCCTTCTGCCCACCAGCCCACACACCCAGTCCCCAGCAAGAAGCTTTCTTCTTATAACTGACCTCAGCCTTTTCCTCCCCAGTGCCTGCTCCATCAATAGACAGAAGCACGAAACCTCCCCTTGACCGCTCATTGGCACCTCTTGACCGAGAACCCTTTACACTAGGTTGGTATTACTCATATTTTATGCACACTAGCAATAGCTACGCTTATGGAGTGCTAAGTGCACTTTCTTTTATACACACCATCTCATTTCATAACTGGCACAGTACTGTGACGCTGTGAGAAGCATCCTCACTTTACAGAGAAAGCAACTGAGGCACAAAAGCAGTAACTTTCCAACATCACTCAGCTACCAAATGATGAAGGTAGAGATGTAACTCCGGGATCAGCTTGATGCCAGAACCTCTGCTCTTTGTCCCTGGGCTGTTCTCACTGCACCATTTCTGTGAGCTGTGTGTACTTTGGCCAAGACACAGCAGGATGCATCCTGGCTCTCAAGGAGGGAATGGGCTGAGCAGCAGAGCATGGGAAAGCTGGAGTCAGCTGTTTTGGCTGCTGCTTAGTGATCCAGGGTGTGTGACTTCTTCAGGCCACCGTCTCATGGCAAGGAGGATATTTTCTCCGGAGAAAAGCTTTCCTGAAATTCTGAGGTACTATTCAGATGTCAGCGTTGACCTTTGCTGTCGATGGGTACAGTCGATTAAACACTACGGACTTTTCTCACAGTTTACTCATGACCGCAGCTACCTTGGTTCTAGCTACTCGTACGTAGAGTTAGTTTTTAATTCAACTCTAAAACTTAGCTACCATTTATTGACCACCTGGGGTAGGGCATGTGCTTTACAGCCTTATGCCAGGCCAGTGACAGAGTGTGTTATCAGCTCCACCCCTCAGCCGATAAAAGGTCAGAGAGTTTAAATAACACGATCTATTTGCATAGGTGGGTTGAGACTTGAGCCCATGTCTTTCTCACTTTTGGACCCTATCACAGGGTACTGAGGTTCTGGGCTTTGGACCTGCTGTAGGTGGGTGTGGGCAGGAAGCACCTAAGCTGAGTAGATACAGAGTCCAGGCCTCAGCTGCATCTCTTCTCCTCTCCAATGGGACTCTGAGCAAGGCCTTTGCCTTTTCTTAGCCTCAGTATTCTCGGTGGGCCAAATGACTTTGAGATCTTGGATTGGAGGCTGCAGCTTGATCCCGACTCACATGCTCACTCTGCTGAGTCACAAGAAGTTGTGTTCTCCATCAAGTTTGGACTTCACTGTGGAGAGCTCTGCATGCTGTGTGAAAAGGACAGCAGGCAGATGCAGGCTCCAGCCCTGCTCCCTAAGCCAGGGCATCAGGAAAGCCGGATACAGGTGTCGACACTCTACAGTCATCTCCAGACACAGCTCCTTTAAAGAGTCACTTTTTACCATTTTTGTAGATATTTTAGAGTTATTATTTTCCAAGAATACATGTTTGGGCTTTGAATTACATCCTTGTCCATGATGCTGTGGCAGAGCTAAGTTCTTCCGCTAAAGCTTAGACTTTGACCATAAAACTTGTAATGAGCCCAGAGCATATGCGTTTCAGAAGACTGCTGTTGGGCTTGTTTGTTTGTTTTCTATGAATCAAATACTTTCTGGAAAAGGAAAGTCTTCTTTGTTCAAAGAATATTAATTTGCTTTTGGGGTAGCCCTTTACAGAAGATGTTTAATCTCAAACTCTTAATATTTACTAGACATCTTTTGTGCCATGATTTATTCAAAGCAGACAATCTTCTTACACCTTCCTGGGTCTACCATGGACATCCTTATGGGATGTTGTGAATGTGTGATTCCAGGAGGACTGCATCCGTGTACACCTTAGGGTACTAAGTGTGGGAGAGTAGGAAAGAAAGAGGAGCTAGCCCGCACCACCCCCATCTTGTTTCTGACCTTGCATATAAGTTATCATCTGACCTCACAGCAAACCTACACTGACTTCACAGCCAAGGTAACAGAGTTCCAACATGCTCAGGTACTGTTAAGCCTGCTTCCAGATTATAATGTTTTTATTATATAGAAAAGAAATGGTACACCTAACCCGTACGACCTCAGCTACGCTAACAACAAAGTTGTTCTGAATAACTTGGCATTAAAGAACTTCAGATATAAATACTTGGCTTCAATGCCGTCTGTCCTCAAAGAAATCAAACAAGTGGGCAAACAAAAATGACTGCCACCACCATTATTATCTTGATCACCTCCACAACCACCATCACTCCTGGAACCATCACCACCATAAACCGCCACTACTTTCATGACCACCACAACCTCCATCACCATCACCAATAAAATGGTTCTGCCATATCAGGACAGTGTCCTAAAGCCCTTGTTCCAAAGTTATTTTTTTTTTTTCAGAAACCAAATGGAGTCCTTTATATAATATCAAGCATGCCATAGGATTGAGACAGAAATTACTCCTTCATGACTCGCCAGTTTACTTCAAAAATTAGGACAGATTAGACAACAGATGCTTAAGCCAATGAAAATGACAGAAAATACCAAGAACACATTCACCCATTTGATGCTCAGTTACACTAAGTCACACATTGTAAAGAAGCACAGATCACCACATCCCATTACCATGTGCACAGCTGTCTGACTTGGGCAAGCCAGGTGGTGTTTTTAAGCCCATATAATCAGGTACTCTGCAAAAGACCAGATCTGAAGCCTGGCTTGAAGTCGGTTCCCCCACCCCCGAATATGGCTTTCATCAGAATCTTTTTTTCAACCTCCACCTCATACTTGTCCCAAATTTAATGTTCTGCTTTGTCCTGTTTACAGGAAAGAAGCCAACATTTTCCGACAAGGTGGGCTGTTTTTCTGGTTTGTTTTTGTGGTTTTAGTTTTTGTTTGCTTTGATTTTTGTATCTTGTCCTTATTCTTTGGAAAGTGCCTGACCCTCACATGTCCTCTCTAATGTCTTGCAGCCAGTGGCCCCAGTGGGAAGGTAAGCCTCCGCTGTATGGTATCAAGCCCCGGAGTTTTGCTGCAGAGCTCTGCCCAGTGGAAGTGCTTTCTTACAAATCCTTTCTCTTCACTCTCAGTAGGCCCCTTGGGGAGCATTTACCCAAGATACAAAAGCCTCCTTTACCACCAGCCATGGACAGACATGAAAGAAGTGAAAGAAGTGGACCCCTGACAGCAAAGAAGCCACCGGTTCCAAGGTAACTGTCCTGTGCTGCTTGAATTGGGCCTTTGAACTCCCCGTACTTGGGAGGGTAAGGGCTCATTTCCTTGCTGGTTGGATGAAAAGCATTGAGGTCTGTGAAGAGAATGGGAATCTAGCTGAGCAAAGAGTAGAAGTGCTTAGAGCAGAGGGCGGGGGGGGGGGGTGTTCTGCTGTGGGAGGTCTTGTCTGAAGTGTTGTCTGAAGCCAGTCTCCTTTGTTGGACTTTTCCTGCCTTGTCCGACTGAAGCCTGAGCAGCATGCAGGAGCAGTGTTTGCCAGTTTGTTTCATAAAGGAGCAGGGAGGAAAGACCAGGAGTTGGGGGATTCTAGACCTGCATTAGCCTCTTTCTTTCTGTCAACCACTTTTACAGCCACAGGGGACTGAGCACAGGTCTGCTATAAAATCATGTATGGTCTATTTATCAAATGACACCAGTGTACTCAGGTTCTGAGCCAGCCAGGCTACTTGGGGAGGAAACAGTGAGGTTCATTATCTCATCTGTCTATCAAGATTCAAAACCATTCTCCTGGCTTGGCAGTTGTGACTGTCAGTCAAGACTAGGGCTAGAGTGTGCCAAGAAAATACTCAGTTGTTGACTTTAATAACATTTTAATGCATTATTTAACAAAATCAAAATACATGAAAAACAATCATAATGGCCAAAATATCAAAATTTTCAATAAATAAAATGGGAAGAACTGATGGATGATCTGAGAAACATCTGACATTAGCTATTCAACAAATTGTTCTTTTCATCCCTTCCTCCCTCCCTCTGTTCTTTCCCTCTCTCCCAGGAAGTACAGTTTTTCCCTCTCTCTGCAGTCCTTAGACAGCTATTATCAAAGCAATTGGATTGGCCTGTCCATCTGTGCCAATGGCACCAAGGCCCTATTGGAAAAGCCCAGAGCAGGAACCTTTGCCAACCGTTTTCTTATTATTTGAAGGGTGGACCCTGTGGTGGCCGGTTTAAAACCCCAGCAAAGAAGAATATTATTGAAAATGTTTTTATTTGCTTGGAAAAACATCTCCTCAGTGAAATTTAATAGCTACTAAAAGCTGACTAAACACATATATGTATATAATTATGTAATTATTTGCTACAGTAGCTCTGTAGAACAAAGGTTTGCCTAGCTCAGCTTGCAATGATAACAGAGCATCCAGTGGCCAAATTTCCCTTCTTTCCCTCTCCCCAGCATTTTTTTTGCTGGCATTTGCAACTTCCCCTTTGACTACGGCTCAGTGGGTTTTATTTCTTCTTATGCGATTTACTGAAATTATATTCTGGGGCTGACTCTTTGAAACTCTCGATGTTCATGTCTCTGCTCTAATTCATTTCAGGCATGGATGGGGACCAGAGAGAAGAGAGAATGTAAGTGTGAAATGTCATTTAGGAAATTCTTGGCATAGGAACAGCCAGTATAGGCTCTGAGGAGGTGCTTTGTCCTCATATGAAGTCAGGTATCGAGAGCAAAGCCCACAAAAAGTCGAATAAATACTAGTGTCTGCATCTTTTTACTTGGAGTTCATCAGGCTGAATTGCCTAGCTCCTGTCCCTCTGAGAGGTCCCGGGGTGGCTGGTTTCTTGCAACCAAATTCCCAAGGGTAATTAGGAAGGAGAGTGAATAGTGTCAGCGATGGAGGAAAGGGTCAGGAAGATGCCGCAGAGTCCAAGTCTGACACAAAAGTTTCCAAGGTTGCCCTTGATAACCTCCACAGCTCACAAAAGACAGGGAATGGTGTTGCTGGATGCTACCTTGGGAGGTCAGGTGTTTTTCTGGGGCTTTCTCAGGTCCACAGAAAGGCTGGTCACACCTGGCTTTCCTTATGCTTTGGTCTTAGTGGCCCTGTGTGCCATTCTTTCTCTCTTAATGGGAGACACTAAGGCTTGGCGTGAGAATATACTCAGAGTTGCACAGGCATTAAATTCAGATTCCTTGCACCTGAATCTAGGTCTGTCTGACGTTCTCCGTACTCTGTGCTACTTTAAAAATATTTTGAAATTTATTATTAGTAGTATTATATCTTTATAATGGGCGGGGAAGTATATACATGGGCCACAGCATGCAAATGGAGGTCAGAAGACAATTTTGTGGAGTTGGTTCTCTCTTTCCACCTTTGTATGGGTTCTGGGAATTGTGTGCCAAGTACTTTTTTTGCTCACTGGGCCGTCTTGCTGACCACAACCTTTGCTTTCATGATAGCCATCACAGAGCCCTTCCTCTGAACTATGTTCAGAGAGCTATAATAGTCCTTGAATGATGCAGAGAACACAGATTGGGGTCACTCTGGTTTCATTCTGGTCTCAGGAATGTCTTAGGAAGATAGGAGGGAATGGCTACAGCAGGGCAGCAACTTGCTACAGACACATAGGGATAAAGTAGAAGAGGGACAGTGAGGCCAACATCACATCCCTGAGGCACACAGTCTCTGAAGGATTCATTCTCCTCATGAGAAGCTAGGGTTGTTACCTTTTCGAACCAGAGGGGACATGGCAGCAGTGCTCGGGACAGTGGCAGTCTGGGAGCACTCCTGTAAGTTTATTTGTGTGATGCTTTGCTGAGACTCTCCCTTCCTCAGGGTGAGTGATTCTGACTGATGATAGGACTGAGGGTATATAGTTTTACTAGTCAGAATTAACCAATGCACACACAGTAACTAGCTTAATCCTTACACAACAGTTTGGGGGAAGGCACTGCTTCATCACCGCTGGGCTGGTCTAACAAAAACAGTTCAAGTCGGCTTTTTGATTTTCTATTCAGAGGCAGACCTGCTTTGTCCTTTCAAACCTCATTTCTCATTGGAGCAGGAGAGGAAATAGCCTTTCTCTTGTCTGTCTCACAAGGTGGTCCTGCAGTTGAAATGGTTAGGGACGATGCACCTTGTAAACTGCACTGTGAATGAAGAGGGGCAAAATTGCAAAAGAGAGGCAGGCTGGAGCTATGGGTCAGGCAGGTTTGGGGTGAGTCCTTATCTGCTCTCCATGGTGAATGCTCCTGTAAACCTGAGTATCATTTCCATTGCAAAGGGTGTCACGTTCTTAGAGCTGCTGGAGGAAATTGACTGAAATATTACATGAAACACATCATGGAATTGTAAATCTTGTTATTGTTATATCCAAGTCCTTTAGGACCCTCAGAACCCCTTTCAAGCTGGCTGTTTGAGAGGAATCTCAGATTGGAATGTCTTTGGATGGATGTGAATATTAGAAAATATAAAAAACCACTTAGCAGATTCTAGCTTGATTATAAACATGGGGAAACTCTAGAGAATCCTCTACAACTTATCTATTATGAAAAGCTATATCTGTTAAAAAAGAAGAGCCAGACACATTTTATTGAGGAATGTCTTCTTAGGACTTGGGTTTTGATGATAAGTTAATATCTTTTATTATGTTTCCCTTACAGGATGAAGATGATGGTATGTCTAGAGATCTTTCTTAGAACTTTTGTCCTCTCATTTTTCTGATCAGCTATTTAAATAGAATTATTGAGTATGGAACCCCATATGGCAATCAACATAAGCAGACATATACCAACTGCTACACTTCATGGCTCTAGTAAAATGGAATTGCTTGGTTGCTTTACCAAGGAGAACTCAGTTTCATGTGCACTAGTTCAGAATATCTAACTGCACAGAAAGTTGCATATATGTTTTGATAGAATTTTTTCTAATACTTAGACCCTCTGACATGTGTAAGTACAGAATCAATAACTGTGAATGAACAAAATAACATGTAGTTTTAGCTTTCAAAAGACAAAAATCTTCAAAAATTTTTAAAGGACAAAAAAAAAAAAAACAAAAAACCTAAAATGTATAAGGTTTCCCATTTTCTGCCAAGTAAATAGTTCAAAAATAAAATTTCACTCTAGAGAACATTAGCAATTTTACATGATTCCCATGTGGTGAAGTAATATAGGTTATCTTCCTACCATTTGCTACTTCTGTCTGATCTTCTGTCTCTCTCTTCACATCAACTGGTTTTGGTTTAAACCAAGGGGAGGGGAGGAGTTCTCTAAATGCCCCCAGATCTGAATTCTGACTCTCTAGTTTTTCCTTCTCCCCCCACAGTGCACCACAGACCTTTGCCCCAGCCATCACTACCTTCTATGAGCTCCAACACATTCCCTTCGAGATCTGCCAAGCCCAGCCCCAAGCACACATTTCCACTGTCTCACACGCCGGGAGCCTTCTCCGAAAGGTTGGTGGCTGTGTCGCTTAGTTCTAACTAACCACGACATCTTGTGGCTTCTGTTCCAGTCTTCTGTCTGCTGCTGTGACAAATACCCTGATGTGGAAGAGGATGGGTTTGTTTCCCTATGCAATGTAAGGCTGTAGTCCAGTGTTTCTCAACCTGTGGGTTACCGCCCCTTTGGGGGAGGGGGTAGCATATCAGATATCCTGCATACCAGATATTTACATTACAATTACACTACAATTCTTAACAGTAGCAAAATGGTAGTTCAGTACCATTGTGAAGTAGCAGCGAAATGATTTTATGGTTGAGGGTCACCATAACATGAGGAACTGTATTAAAGGGTCACAGCATTCGGAAGGTTTTTGAACCACTGTTCTAGTCCAGCCTTTCAAGAAAGCCACGGTGGGAAATCAAGTAGCTAGTCACATCATACCCACAGTCCAGACCACAGAGAAGTGAATCCACCCATGCTGCCTGCCTGCTTGCCTATGTTTTTGCTGGCTAGCTTTCTTCATACATTCAGAGTTCAGGTGCTAGCCCATGAAATGGTGTAATTACAGTGGGCTAGATCCTCTTACCTCAAGTAACTATCAGGGCAATTCCCCACAGAGCCACCCACAGGCCAGTGTGATCTAGATAACTCTTCAGTTGAAACTGTCTTCCCTGGAGATCCTAGGTTGTGTCAAGCTAGCAGTTACAACAAACCGGTACAGCTTAGCATTATGGCAAATTCCAGGTAGCTTGAGGAACAAAGAAATGAGCCGGTGGGCAGAGCTGTCTAAGGAAGCAAGGAAAATGAGCTTGGAGAACAACTTGAAAGTTTGCTTGTTCTCCGAGTTTCTGAGTTTGAGGGGAGAGGGGGCTAAGTTGTCCCAGAAAATGGACTCATGGGGGGGGGGGTTCTCACCTGTTTATTTCAAACAAACAAACAATATTAAGAAACCCAGTTAACTGAAGTTCTTGGAGTCCCTCTTTCATCTTGGATAGGGAAACAGAGAATGTGCCTTGCACCTGACAGAGGCCAAACACCCATGCTCGGGCAATGGCCTCAGAAGGATTGTTTTCTCTAAAACTAGAATATCTCAGTCATAATAAGAGCAGACAATGAAACAAAGGCATGGCTAGAAGAACCTAAGCAAGCTCAAGCTCATCCCTGACCAGGAGAGCCAATGGGCTGCTATATGTTGCTCCCCAGGGAGCCTGACACCAGGGAACTGTGGCGAGCAGCAGTCACAAAGCAAGCATCTACAATCTGTCTTCACTAGCCCAACTCCAAAGCCAGGTCCCATCACCCTAACCCAACTTAAAGCTTGTTCTTTTTTCTGTTTCCACAGTAACATTGGCTTTCAGCAGAGTGCCTCCCTGCCGCCATACTTCTCTCAAGGTTTGTACACTCATGACTTCTGCCTACCAACATCTCCTTGACAATATAATGTTACAATATAATGTGTCAGCAAAGGCTTTGTTTCCTAAAAGTAAATGACTTCTTCATTTAACACTTAATCACTTAATTCAATGTCTGCAACGTACCAGGAGCTGTTGGAATGAGACACTACATAAAATGCTGCACATATACACACATAAACACACACACATGCATGCATGAGCACACACACTCACACACATGTGATTACCAGAGAGCCAGCCTTATTCTTCAACTTCCCAACCAGAGCTATGTCCCTGATGGTTCAATAAAGAGCTCAGAGAAGTGCTCAGCTTCCTTGTAGTTTCAGTGATAAATCTGCTCTCAGGTTGTGAATTGGGAAGCATATTAAAAATATAGATTATAAGAACCCAGAAGGGGCAGGGAGGAGATGGGGGAGGGAGGGTGGGGTTGGGAGGGAATGAGGGAGCAGGATACAGCTGGGATACAAAGTTAATAAAATGTAACTAATAATAAAAATAAATAAATAAATAAAATGAAAAAAAACAAAACAAAGAACCTAGCCTCAGAGACCCTGAACCAAACCAGATACGGTGGCTTATAGCTGTAATCTTAGCCCATGCGAAGGTGGATTAAGAGTTTCAGATTATCTTCAAAGAACAAGTTTGTGGCCAATCTGGATGACATGAGATCATGTCTCTGAAAAACAACAAAAGCTCCTAACTCAGAAGGAGAATCCAGAGGTTCTCCTTTTCCAGGGATGCTGACACTGGGTGTCTGCTGTGGGCGTTCTCAACATTCAGTGTGTGCATAGACACCTGGGAATCACATTCAAACATGGATCTAATTGAGGAGGGCTAGGTGTCACCTGAGGCTTAGCATTTCTAGCAAGTTCCCAAAGATGTTGATGCTGTTGGTCCATGCTGCTAACAAAGGTCTAGGAGACAGGGCTGCTATGGAATGATGTTGAAGTAGGAGGCCAGTGCATGCAACTTTAAAAACTCTTGCTGAATGACTGCGTGTCAAAAGAAACACTTCCTGGCTCTCCTAAGTAGATCTTTGTCATGCTTGGAAACTGGCTTAGTACTGCCAGACTTGCCTTTAATGTAAAATTGCTCAAGACTTAAATATTGACTTAAAATTTTAACAATACAAAAAAATTTTTAACAATACAGTGGAAAACAGACACATTTATTATTATTATTATTATTATTATTATTATATTACTTTTTAATTTATTATAATTTATTTACTTTGTATTCCAGCTGTAGCCCCCTCCCTCATTCCCTCACAATACAATATTCCGTCCCTCTTCTCTTCCCATGCCCCTCCCCCAGTCCACTGATAGGGGAGGTTCTCCTCTCCTTCCTTCTGACCCTAGTCTATTAGGTCTTATCAGGGCAGGCTCCATTTTCTTCCTCTGTAAGGCTGACCCACCTCAGGGGGAGGTGATCAAAGAGCCAGCCACTGAGTTCATATCAGAGACAGCCTCTGTTCCTCTTACTAAGGAACCCACTTGGAGACTGAGCTGCCATGGGCTACATCTGTGCAGGGGTTCTAGGTTATCTCCAGAACAAAATGACAGGCTAAAAACTGGGAAAGGATCTTCACCAACCCTATAACTGACAGAGGGCTAATATCCAGAATATATAAAGAACTGAAGAAGTTAAATAGTAACAAATCAAGTAATCCAATTAAAAAATGGGGTTCAGAGCTAAACAGAATTCTCAGTAGAGGAATATCGAATGGCAGAGACACACTTAAAAAGAAATGTTCAACATCCTTAGTTATCAGGGAAATGCAAATCAAAATGATCCTGAGATTTCACCTAACACCCATCAGAATGGCTAAAATGAAAACCTCAAGTGACAGTACATGCTGGAGAGGATGTGGAGAGGGGAACCCTCCTGCTGGTGGGAATGTAAAATTGTACAGACACTTTAAAGAAAAAAGTCATGGTCCATGTTTGGCCGTGGATCTCTGCATCTGCTCTCATCAGCTGCCAAAGGAAGCCTCTCTGATGGCCCACAGAACCAGCTAAGCAGGTGGTTCAGAGAGGCTCACAGAGGCTAAAGCCACAATCATGGAGTCTGCATGGGGCTGTACTAGGTCCTCTGCATATATATTATGGTTTTTTTAGGTTGGGATTTTTGTGGGGCTCCTAACGGTGGGAGTGGGCTGTCTCTGACTCTTTTGCCTGCTTTTTTGTGATCCTTTTCCCCCTACTGGGTTGCCTTGTCCTGCCTTGATATACGTGTTTGTGCCTCAATTTATTGCGTCTTTTATGCTAAGTTCAGTTGCTATTCCTGGGAGGCCTGCTCTTTTCTGAAGGGAAACTGGGTAGGAGTGGATTCGGAAGACAGAGGAAGTTGGGTGTGGGGGAAGGGGAAGAGTAGAGGGAGTGGAAACTATGATCAGGATAGATTGTATAAGAGATGAATGAACCAAAAGGAAAAATATAAGTCGTGATTCATATGCAGAAACAGCAGGTTTTAAGTATAAAATTACATTATCATGTTTGATCTACAACTTAGTAATATATTCATTTTACACAAGCATAGTTTTCAGTAGGGCACATCATTCTGTAGGTGAGAGGCTGCTGCTGACACAGTGGCAGGTGCTAAATCTCAAAGCTGAGGTTCCAGTGCCCATTTTTACCATGGAGGGTCCAGTTCTCTCTTCACCCCAATTTTTCACAGTTGTTCACACTCAATGTTTTTAAAAGCACATGTGTATTATGGGCCTGTGCCTTATAATCATCTGGATTCCAGGTAGTTCATTTACAACAGCATTTCCTAAAGCATGACACACTGGATTTTCCAGTTGGTTATGGGGATGGTGCATATACACAGGTAAGTCTTTCAGAAAACTGCCTTAATCAGAAGTGATGCTTTTAAACCTCAAGACTGGCAGACATCTTGTCCTCAGACTTTTGCATGGGATGATCCAACCTCAAGAAGCTAAGAATTCTACCATGTGTTGTTCAAAAGCCATCAAAGCTCCCATAAGGACTTGGATGAAGACCCAGATGTTAAGGATTATAGCTGATTGTTACAAAATGTGTGCATGCTCATGTACTGCACACAGATCGTGGCTCGGTGCTGCTGACCGTGAGGCATAGAAGCAGACAGCCATGCACTATAGGACTTGATCCTGTTGTACTCCTGTGGTGTTAGAGTTCATCCACTGAAAAAGCCCTTCTAAATATTCAGATTGGGCATTGGGAACCTAGAGAAACCTAGAGAAGGGAGGTGCCAGCAACTCAGGCTCAGGTTTCCCTACTCACAGACAGGGAAGGCCATCTCAGACAACCCTGAAGAACTGACCCAGGAGTCCTCAGCTCTTCTTAGCTGGGCCTCCCTTCCTTGGTGGATCCTGATGCAGAAGTACCTGAGGTGCTTCGAAGCATGAGGATTTCCAGGACTCGGGTGGTGCAGTGCCTCTGGGGTTTTCACTTAGGCAGTGTAATGTTTGGGAACCACAGGCCTTAAGTCTTGGTCCTGCCAGTGCTGCATGAAATTTCCTCAGACCCTCTTAGCCTCACATGCAAAAGAAATGCGGTACCTCTCTAGTCACATGGCCCTGAGGATTAAAGACAGTGTACAGAGCATGCCTTATTTACTCCTAGAGTTGTGCTAAGCAAACATTTGTTGGAGGAACAAGCGAATCACAGGACAAAGAAAGAAAATTCCAGACAACAGGACTTTTCAGTTCTTTCTGCTGTTCTGATACAGAAACCAGCCTTGGCACCCACAACCAACAGTCAAGCATTTCCCAAGCTGAGAGTCATTCTCCTAAACTTTCAATGAACTATAATCAAGAAAATAGGGTTTCAGAATCTTATGCATATACTGAGGTAGTTTTTCAATGCCCTTTGACAAACTCCTGGCTGAGCAGATAGTTTGTGGTGTCTGTTAGTCCAACAGTTGTACGTCTTAGGAAGCTGCAGAATCGAAACGAACAGAAGTTACAGCAAACATTTCCTCTAAAGCTGATGTTCTCAAGGCACTTCTCTTTCTCTCTGTGAAGACACTGGGACATAATTATTTCTTCACTGGTGCCAGTGTGTGAGCTGTTCGAAAAGCATTCATGTGGGCTATTATGACAGGCATCTACGAAAGGTCTGCTTTATGTGTGTTTTTACTGAGGCACTCAGTAAAACAACTGTGGCTTTTTTTTTTTTTTTATAAATGGGCCCACATTATGTTGTAGGCATGTTTAGGGGATAATGTTGGGCTCTTCTCTCCAAGTTTCACCAGCACAGTACAGAACACTGCCCAAGTAGCCCTTGTAGCTTTAAAGAGGTGGAAATTATTTTTTCCAACCTCTTATTCTTGAAAAATGAATTACTGTCATGGGGGCGTCTGTGATGGATGTGGAGAACAATGGCTGACGGTAAATTAATTTTCAAAATGCTTTGCTCTGAAGGTCCCAGCAACAGACCACCTCTCAGAAGCGAAGGCAGAAACTTACCCTTGCCAGTTCCAAACAGGCCTCAGCCTCCATCTCCTGGGGAAGAAGAGGTAATACAGCTGTTTCTAATTTTGTTTGCCTTTTTCCCTAGCAAGGGGACGGACCGTGAGAAACTCTCTGTTAGCTGCTCTGCTGTATTTGTGTCTTCTGTTGGAGTTTTGTTGTTGCTGTTTAATTAAAAGAGCAGCTGTGTATCTCCGTGGTCACACCCTTGTCTGGCATTGCTTGAGGCCCTGTCCTGGATCCAAAGCATTTCATACCCTCACACCATAAGCCAAAAATGGAGGGGACGATGTAGAACTAATGTTTTCTTTAGTGTTCTCTCAGAGTCTGCAGGGGCACTAAGAAATGAGAAAAATAATGCTATTTTTTTTTCATCTGTTCCCTGGTTTATGGCCTTGAAAAAGTTAGTCTCTTGGTCCCTCCATTAGGACAGATTTTTCATTAGGTATGTAACTACTATACAATAAGGCAAAGAACTTCCTCTATTTCCGTCTTTCCCAATGAAAGATTCCAATCTATAAGGGAGGTTCCTTTGCATTAGTGACATGATAAGGAGCAGTTTGCACAAAATGCCTTCCATGTTGCCCCATCTAAATGATTCTAGTCAAGAAAACAAATGTTTCAAACCTCAGAGAACTGAGGTGGTGATTTATGGGAATTATTGTTTTTTTTTTTCCTTTTTCCTTTGTTTGTGTAGCTACAGAACTTAGAGTGTTTTTTAAATTTTCATATTTGTAGTCTCCACTAGATGATGAGTGGTACGTCTCTTATATTACCCGGCCAGAGGCAGAAGCTGCTCTACGGAAGATAAACCAGGTATCATTCTACCGTTCATTTGTATACAGTTATAAATGTCAGTGGAGGGAGAGAAAAGGGTATTCACATGCATGGGTCTCAAGTGTGAGCCAGCTGCTGCCGTTCCTGATGCCAGGTGCTGTTCCTTTAAGACCCATCAGTGCCACCATCCAACCCGCCAGCAGCCATAGAATGTTTTTTTTCTGAGTCATCACTTGTCTGGCAAAAAAATTCTAAATTAAGGGAAATCATATGTAAGTTGGCAAATATTAGGCAGTATCATTAATGAATCAATGAATGAACATGTCTTTATTTTCTGGTCAGACAAATCATGTAGTAACATCAGAAATCCTACTAGTTCATCTTCCTCCTAACACTGTTACCATCCAAGTTTATGAGAAAGACTCATGGAGAAGGCATATCTCCAAAGTCTCCTAGAAATTTTTAGCTAGTCTTTTAATGTTATGAAGTCTTAAACAGGTCCAGTATTGACCCTTATCGTTAAGTCTCTTGATCAGAGATGGGAGAATGAGGACCCTTCATCTTTCACACTGTTGAGGCTTCAACAACCACTTTCAGGCTCAGCAGCAGATTTGATTATCTGGGGGAGTTTTTTCATTTGTTTGTTCCTGAGTCTTGGGGAGATTGTTTTAATAAGTAGGGATGCAAAGTAGGCTGAGGGAATCTTCAGACTCCCCAGGTGACTGAATTTAAGCCAAGCCTGTGACTCACTGACTCAAAGGGAAGTTCCTTTACCAGATATGTTCTGACTGGCTCAGTTAACCAGAAGTGAACAAAGGAACATCATTATTGCATATCTATGGCTATTTAAATCCCATTCTAATTAAATACATAGAGGAAGGAGTGATTTGCATGGGTCTTACTAATTAGCTCTGTTTTAATATTAGATTTTTGTCATGCTGTATTATATTGCAATAATTCTTGTATGAAAATTTAAAGTAGAGAACAAATCACATGTTTATAAGTATTGGGGGCAAAGAAAGTCCATGTTCACTTTTGTTCAGGTGTGTTTTGGGTGAAAGCTGATCACAGCAGATGTATAGGGGAGATGGGGGAGTTTCTCAGGCAAATGGTGTGTTCTCGGTGGGGATGTGGGGAGGAAAGTTTATCCGATTGGCGGAAGTGAGCAGGTATACAGTTAAGTGAGCCACCTTATCTCTTATTGAAAAATATTTTGTATCCAAAGTTTTCAAGTTAATATCTTTGAAACTTCTCAATAGTCTCAGTTGTCTTTCTGGATAACCAAAAGATCCAGGGTACCTGGGGACCCCAACTGTAAGGAGCACACAATATCAGTTGACACAATGACAGCTTTGCAGGTACCTAGGGGCTTGTCTCTTACAAGCATCGAAAGGACCAGCTTCCACTGCTTCCGTTAATAACCAGCACCTGTTCCTCCAGGACGGCACCTTCCTGGTTAGAGACAGCTCGAAGAAAACAGTCAACAATCCATATGTCCTTATGGTGTTGTACAAAGACAAAGTTTACAACATCCAGATCCGCTACCAGGAGGAAAGCCAAGTATACTTGTTGGGGACTGGACTTCGAGGAAAAGAGGTAAGGACTTCAAGCTCCACTCCTTCCCCCAAACCCATGCTGTACAAGCAAATGTGCAGTTAAAGCGCAGGCCACATAGCAACAATGCAGTTAAGTCACATGCTGCTTCGCAACTGTGCTGTTAAACAACTTGAATGAGGCCCTCCATTTACTGAATTGAAGGAAAGAGAAAAAATACTACCAATGACTAACTCCACTATAGAAGTCTTTCTTGAATTTTCATTCCAAATAATTCAACATCCTAAGCGTAACCTCTTTGTGGTGCTTGGGACTCAACCTAGTGCCTTGTACTCACCAGTCAGGTGGGAGCAGCAAACTTTATCTCTGTTCCTGAAGTGTAACATTAAAAAAAAAAAAAAAAGTCAAAAAATGCATTTAGGAATTATCTTCTAATTTGACTTCCTTTTGACATAATTTCAATGTAATATTATGGTATGCCTATAAAACTTTATTTCAAATATCATCAGAGGGGCTGGAGAGATGGCTCAAAAATTAAGAGTACTTGCTACTCTTGCAGAGAACTGGGGGTCTGTTCCCAGGATCCACACTGGGTGGCACACAACCTCCTGTAACCCCAGTTCCAGAGGCTTTGATGCCCTCTGCTGGCCACGATGGGCACCTGCATGTATACAGTGCACTTGATAAGCAGGCCCACACGTATACATCAAAAGCACAACTTTTCATTTAAAATCCCATATGTGAAAGCAGAGACTAGTGATTACTGAGATGTGTGAAGCATTAATTGTTAAACTGAGACATCTGACTCTGTGAAAATGGCCAAAGAAATTTTGTTTGCCCAACTCAACTTTTTGATGTGAAAATAACCATTAGTCTGCTTTTGTGGAGGAAACAAACAAACGTAACATCTAAAGACACATTTTCTAATGTTACACAAAGAAAACCAGCTGAGTGAAACATTTACAAAATGAGGGCAATTCACTAATAACTTCAATCCAAATACTTGAACTCAGTGGCAGTGCTGAGTAGAAAGAACATTATTTTGGTCAAATTTTGGGTCACTTGATCCATGTTGACAGGGCTGTATGGTCTCTAGAGGCAGTGTCATCTTCCGGAATTTCTCTTGGTCTAACATGGAGGGAGGCATGTCTTAGAAAAAGTACACAATCCTGTTTAGGTACAACTTGACCTCTGATCGCATCAAGAGGAGCATGGGACCAGTCTGCCTGGACTGGGCAATCCAGGTTATGGATACAAAGACTTGGCTGCTGAGGCTTCATAGTATGAGTGTGGAGGTGACAGAGAAGGAATGATTACACCATGGTAAAACTTCACCTCCAGAAATGACCCATCTGACCTCCTGGTTCCTTACACCACTTAGCAGTTTGAACTGTGGTGATGTGGGGGATACAGAAACCCAAGAAATGAAAACCAGAGACCAATATTAAGTCACAGGTATCATGATAGAAATATTTAGGATAAATGAGCCACTATAGAGGTAGAAATTTTAGCTTTTTTAATTAAATTTTTATTTTTTATATTAGTTAGTTTATTTACTTTGTATCCCAACTGTAGCCCCCTCCCTCATGCCCTCCTAATCCCACCCTCCCTCCCTCATCTCCTCCCTGCCCCTCTCTAAGTCCACTGATAGGGGAGGTCCTCCTCCCCTTCCATCTGACCCTAACTTATCAGGTCTCTTCAGGACTGGCTGTAATGTCCTCCTCTGTGGCCTAGCAAGGCTGCTCCTCCCTCGGGGTAGGGGGTCAAAGAGCCAGCCATTGAGTTCATGTCAGAAACAGTCCCTGTTCCTCTTACTAGGGAACCCACTTGGATACTGAGCTGCCATGGGCTACATCTGAGCCGGGGTTCTAGGTTATATCCATGCATGGTCTTTGGTTGGAGAAACAGTCTCAGAAAAGACCCCTGTGCTCAGATATATTTCGTCCTTGTGGAGCTCCTGTCCTCTCCACATCATACTAATTCCCCCTTCTTTCATATGATTCCCTGCACTCTGCCCAAGGTTTGGTTATGAGTCTCAGCATCTGCTTTGATACACCGCTAGGTAGAGTCTTTCAGAGGCCCTCCGTGGTAGGCTCCTGTCCTGTTACTTGTTTTCTCCTACTTCTAATGTCCATCCCATTTGTCTTTCGAAGTGAAGATTGATCATCTTACCCCGGGTCCTCTTTCTTGTTTATCTTCTTTAGGTGTACAGATTTTAGTATGTTTATCCTATCTTATAGGTCTAGAAGAGAATGGCAGAGAAACACTTAAAGAAGTGCTCAAAGTCCTTAGCCATCAGGGAGATGCAAATCAAAACGACCCTGAGATTTTACCTTACACCCATCAGAATGGCTAAGATCAAAAACTCAAGTGACAACACATGCTGGAGAGGATGTGGAGAAAGGGGAACCCTCCTCCATTGCTGGTGGGAATGTAAACTTGGAAATCAGTCTGGTGCTTTCTCAGACAATTAGGAATAGTGCTTCCTCAAGATCCAGCTATACCATTCCTAGGCATATATCCAAAATATGCTCAAGTACACAACAAGGACATTTGTTCAACCATGTTCATAGCAGCTTTATTCGTAATAGCCAGAACCTGGAAACAACCCAGATGTCCCTCAACAGAGGAATGGATACAGAAATTGTGGTACTTTTACATGATGGACTACTACTTAGCAATTATAAACAAGGAAATCATGAAATTTGCAGGCAAATGGTGGGATCTAGAAAAGATCATCCTGAGTAAGGTATCCCAGAAGCTGAAAGACACACACGGTATATACTAACTTAGAAATTTTTAGTTTTAATAAACTTTCTTTTGTGTGTGTGTGTACCACTGCCCATGTCTGGCGATCAGAGGACAGCTAGTAGCCATAAGTTCTCTCTTTGCTCCATGTGGGTTCTGGGGATTGACTTGAGGTCATCAGGCCTTTAACCAGTGAGTCATCTCTCTAACCCAACTTAACGTTTTTATTTCTTGCTTACAGTTTGTTGGCTATTGAGGAGGAGATCTCTAAGATACTTGACAATTTTCCCCACAGTTTCTCCAAATTAACGCAGATTGAAGAAAACATAATTATGAAATATGTACTGTCCATTCCAATGTTAACTCATCTCGCCATTTGATTTTTTTCAGGACTTCCTGTCTGTGTCAGATATTATTGACTACTTCAGGAAAATGCCACTGTTGCTCATTGATGGGAAAAACCGAGGCTCCAGATACCAGTGCACCCTAACACACGCTGCAGGCTGTCCATAGCAAGTCAGGAAAGCAAATGAGCCTTCCTGACTGTTGTCAATGCGGGCAGGTCAAGTGACCTTAGGACTAAAGGAGGCCCCTCAACGTGGACACAGAGTTTTGCCTTTTCCTTAAACAGTGTCTGAAGATTGCTGAATACCACATTTATTTATTTCTTTCGATGTCTGTAAAGTGCAGAAGTAATTATGCCCATGCTTAAAGTCTAAGAGTGCATGGCAGTACTTCAAGACATGAGATTTTCAACACCCATTCCAAAATACAGTACTTTATACTGCAGAAATAATGCACGGCAAGCTTAATATGCACTGAAGCTGATCGTTTTTGATACCATATTTTATAAGGAGACTTTTGTCAGGCGGAGGCAATCTGTTTTTTACACAACTTTAAGTAATTAAAATGCATTTTCTGTGCAGCAATAACTTATGAGACTCCAAAAATATAAATCTATTTTCTCTCTCTCTCTCTTTTTTTTCTTTTTGGTTTTGCAGGGTGTGTTTTTATGGTTTTTTTTTTTCATAATAAGATTAATGAGTATTGGGATAATTTGTTGGGGTTAAAGTTATCTTTTGCTTTACTCTTTTAGATCCTTACAACAGCTTCATTTAGTCGATAATGTTATATTTTTGTTTTAAAGCAAATGTAAACTACAAATACTACAAGAAGAAAATGGTATTAGATTCAGTGATGCAACTTTGCTGTCAAACATACTGGGGTTTTTGTTGTTTATCACCCCTGCCCCTGTGTCTACCTCCACAGTGTACTCCCTGCATTCCCATCTTAAAAAGCATTTCCTAATATTGCAGGTCTCCTGGGAAGATGAACAATGCTTTGTAAACACACACACACACACACACACACACACACACACACACACACACTTTTAGCCCACCTTCCTAGTACCTAGTATTTGTATTAGTTGGCTTTCAGTTAGAAAGTTACTTTTGCTTATACGGTCTCCTTTCCTGTTCCTTTGGGCCTGTGATGGTTCATACAGGATGCTGAAGCGAGAATGTACATCAATTCACCTCTTTATCTCCTAAGGCTACATCACTGCCCAATGTTGCCCTGGCAGGGGTGGGAGGGCACAACTCTAACATGTGGGCAAGGATGGGGGCCAAGCCTCTAACACGTGGGCCTTTGGAGAACACCTATCCAAACCTCTGCTCTACTTTTCTGTTTCATTAACCAAACAAGCGTGTTGTGAAACTCCTGTCTCATCCTTCTCAGGTTGGCTTCAGTTCATAAATCTCACTTAACAAAAAGTACAGATGGCTTTCTGGTTTATGTTGTTTTAACTTGCCATTTTTGACTATGATGTCATGGAAGCGATGCCTGTTAAGTACAAACTATGACAAAGTTTAAATTTTGCTTTTTTTCAGCTAGCAACACGTGGTATGAAAGTTGGCCAGCCATGTGATCACCAGAACTTCACATGTTAAATGCTGTGGGGTTTTTTTTTCCCTTTGGGGAGGTTATGGACACTCAATAAATTACATAATATATTCATTATTTTAAGACAAAATAGAATTTGTGTTAGGTGACTTTGCCCAACTGTAGGGTGAAGTACATGATCTGGGCATGTTTAAGTGTTTAAGGCAGGCTAGACTGAGCTCTGATGTTCAATAGGTTATGTATAGTAAATGAATTTCCAATTCACAGTAGTTCCCCTCACCACTGTAAGTTTTATCAAGATATCATCAGTGTAGGCAGAAAAGAATTTGCAGTGCTGTTCATGTTTAGCAAGCCATAATGTGGTATTCACTGAACGCTGACAGTCCTTGTTCTTCCAATCTCATTCCCTTGTGACTATTGGAATCATTGTTACTTTTATTGACAAAAAGTTTTGATTTCTTTGATCTACAAAATTTTAACATGGAAAGGAATATTCTGTACTTTTATTTTCATGTGTTAAAGAACAACTCTTTTGGGGGTGGAACCTCAGAAGTCACCAGGTCATTAAGGACACACTAAGGAGTAGATAGAATGTGAAAATGCTTAGCCAGTGACAATTATGTTATTTGGTAAAACCTTGCTCTTACAAACCCCGAGTTCTTAATTTAGGATCCAGGACCTGGAAAATCTAAAACTGAAAATGCTGTATTAGTTATGTTTCCACAGCAGGATGTCCAACAGGGATTTATAGTGTCTATACTGTATGAAATACAGAGCGAGGTCCTGGGGAGAAGGTAGCAGAATACTGCAGGCTCCGTGATAGAATAAGATCAGTTTGTGTCATGCTTTATGAAACTCTTTTTTTTTTTTTTACAGTTAAAAGTGATGAAAATTAAGGACATGGTAGATCATAAATCATCTCTTCCTAGTTATGATGGTTAAAATTGTCACCTGGATTTTAGAGTCACATAAGGTGGTGTCTGTGAGGATGTTTTCAGAGACGTTTAATGGAGGAGGAAAGATCCACCCTAACTGTGGGTCGAGTGTGCAGAGCACGGAGATTTCACAGCCTCTTTGTGCTTCACAATGATGGACACAATGTGGCCAGCAGCCTCACAGTCTACCACTTTCACCTCCTTGCCATGATCAACCATATCTCCTCAAAATATAAGCTAAAACCAACCCTTCTTCCCTTAAGTTGCTTCTTACCAGGTGCTTACTCACAGCAACAAGGAAAGTATTTGAGTCTCAGGATAAAGGATAAATGAACCTTGTGGGTAAGGAATTCTCTTACACTCCTATGACTGCAATCACGGGAGTCTCTGTTTTCAGGACTAGTAACTCATGTGATTTCCATTCTGTTCTCTGCCAGAGCCTTTCCCATCCGAGTCATGGGCCTTATGCCCCCAGCCGGGGTCATTGCTCACTCTACTCAAAGATTAACATCTTTCCTAAGTTAGGCCTTTCAGGGTCCCTCTCAGATATAGAAAATCAGTCCTTTATAGAGTCCCCCAAAGGCAGATCTATCTGCTACTATGCTACTGCCTTCTACACAGCACATGGAGGAAGCCTGTCTATTGCAGGGAGAGCATGGACAGCACATCAAACACAGACAGGCCAATGTCCAACATCAGACTTCCACTATTAATGGAATCAGTTTCCCTTTGAGGCATTTAAGAAAAGAAAAACAGCTTTCAGGAAGATTATATGCTTATTTATAACTTTATACTGTTTTAGGTTATATTACTAAACTTAGTAGATTTTTAAGTCAACAAAACCAGAAATTCAAAACAGACACACACACAAAAAATTCAGTCAGATAAACTGATAGAAGCAAGGGCTACATCTGGTATCTCAGGCTCCTCAAATGGTTGGTTCGTTTCTGCATCCTTGAGATCCTCTGTCTTCTTGTACTGACCAAAATGGAGATTGAGGTCACAGAGTAGGATCTGGGAGAGTTCTGTGTAAGGGAGAAGACAGAATGGCTGGTGTCATAACAACTATATTGCTTTATGAATGTATTTCCTAATTTCTAATGATGGTTTTCAAGTATTTACTGATGGAGCTACTACCTAGGTGACCTATTTTTGAGTTAACCACAAGTATAACTTAAAAACTGACTAGAAAGGATCTTTACCCATCTACTCAGCTACTTTCTTACACTGCAACATTGTGTAAATATATCTTAAACTTAGCTAACTTACACATTACTCAATGCAAAGGATCAGACTGATAAGACAACTGATAAGACATTTCAAAGACAGGCATCTGTTTTCAATCCTTTCCTCTCCAGGTTGCTTTTGACCATAGCATTTAAGCAATAGAAACCAAACTAAGACAGAGTGAGTGGGAGTATGTTAGTGTTTCTCGCTGTGTATCAAAAGGCATGGCTTTTTTTTTTCTTTCATTTTCTGCTATTTATTCCTGACTAAAAACAACACTCTTTTGCTAATGTTCCACCCTTCCAAATATACTTAGAGGAAAGCTTTTACTATTTAAGCTTAAATTTTACTGATATAGGTGCTTTTTCACAGTTGCGTTTGGTATGTAAATCATCCTACTTTTTTTGCAGGCTTGCTACGAATTAACCATACTTGTTTATTTTTTTATTAGAAAGATGATACTTCAAATTCCAGTAGTTAGTAAATTGCTTTCCTCTCTATTCAAAACTTGGCCATTCGCTTACTGCAAGTTCCCCCCTCTCCCAGAGTAGTTTGTTGTCATTTGTATTTTTTCAATACTAGATATTTAATTCAGGGCCTTGTGTGTACTGAGCAAGCCCTCAATCATGGCTACACAGCCCTCACACTTTTATTTATAAGGGACAGAGGGCTTTTGGAGGTATCTGGATAAAGGCTTATTATATGAAGCTATCATAGGCAGAAATAGTGTTTGTGCAGCCACCTCAGGAGTCATGATTATGAGCAGCAGAAAGATGGGAAAGAACCCGACCCCCGATGAAATCTTTATAACTCTGGGTTAATTTCAGGGCTCCTTCCACTTTGGATTTTCTCCCCTCATAGTGCTTATCTTGTAATGTACTTGTTACTTGCAGCTGCAGGTCTCGGAAGTGACACAGACAATGTCTACATTTATCTGAGAGTTGTAAGAATAACTATACACTCAAAATCATTTCCATGGATAGTAATGGGGTTTATAGATGAAAAGAGTAGGGGTACATATTTCAGCTAATCCCTAAAGAGGAACTATTTAGAAATATTCAATCACAGAAATTCTACATGGCTAGGAGAAAAATAGGGAGCATATCTATGATTTAATAAACACAATGATCTATAAGTCTATTATTACACTAAGAATATATTTTAAATGAAAAACATTTCACTTACGGAATCAAACTTTAAATTCTTAATCTGGCATAACCTCGGGGGCTAAGTAAGAATTCCTGGGTAAAGACATTTGAATTTTGTAGAATGTGATAGTCACATGGCTGTGTTGAAGGAAAGGGTGGGGTAAATTGAGAAAGCTCAAATAACACAATAACGTTGGTGTCAGAACTAGGGATTCAGGTCTAGCACCTTCAAAACTACAGTTCAGATTATAAGGTTTTTATATTATTATGTTCTTAACAAGGCATTTATAATTAGTGGGGAAAATCCCCTAGTTGAAGCACGCCATTAGATCTACCATGTCTTTTATAACAGTGACATGCAGACATGTTGACTGACTCCATCCTTACCTTTCATCTTCTTCACCTCCAAAGAAACGGTATTAATGTTCTTAATAATGGCCTCCACTTTTTCCTTGTAGTCATGATGATTATTCTTAAACATCTGATTATAAAAGAGAAAGAAAATCGATGTATACATCAGGACTGTTTACATTGGGGAGTGGTGATATGCCTCAGCAGTCAAGAGCCCTTGCCGCTCCTTCAACCTAAATTCAGTTCCCAGCACTCACACTGGGTATCAGTTTCCCAGAACTGCCTATAATTCCAGCTCCCTGGGTCCAACGTCCTTGTCCTTTTTTTTTTTTTTTTTGCCTCTTCAGACACCCATGGACACATGACACAAACACACACAGCTGAAAATAAGATTTTAGAAATTATTTTTAAAAGAAATATGTATTTTTAAAATAGGTAATTTATAAGAGAAAAAGAAGTTATTGCAGAACTAAAGTCACCCTCTTTTCCTATACTGAGGAAAGCATCAACCTGTTCTGTTTTTCCAGGTGAAAACAATTGCAAATGGAATTCTTAGGGTGAGGGTTCTTTCATCAGACTACATCCACAAGATGGGGCCCTTACAACGGAAACAAAGTCCCTGTTACAGGAATCCTCAACGTTTACAAACTACCTTACAATTAAGCAACTGTGTAGGCGCTCTCCTAATGTCTGGAAAGGAAAAGAATTTTTACAGCTGCCATGAAGGGAGTGAGGGGAAATAGGATAAGTGACTGGAATTCAGGGAAATACAAAGGCCAGAACTAACTTGATAGTTCGTTTGTCTTCAGCTTTTACACGGTAGGAGATACCTAGGCCAATTGTGGTTTATTTTTCAAGTCATTTTGAGGGGTTTGACTAAATGTTTAGTTAGCATCTAGTGAATCATCTCTCCGTAGACAAAGTCTTATTTAGATATATTTACTGTATTATATAAAACACAATGTGGTAGTTTATACATTCCAGATAACCAAGTGCTCACTTATTCTTGTCAATGAATTATAACCACATCTTTATAGATGTGCTTAAAGACAGTACAAGTGGGAACTGTCATTCAAGAGTAAGAGACAGTGAATCAACTTAGGAAATAAAATTAGAAAAGCTCCTATACAGTTGCTTGATTGTCACGTCTAAGACCCTGAATAAAACGAGAACGCCAATAGCAATCTCACTTGGACATACTAAACCCAGGGATAGGGTTTGAGGAGGAAAAAAACATAGTTTTAAATAAGGGTAAAACCTAATAAATAATAAAACATGAAAACGAAACTAAATGAATCAAAATGTCCCGAGTCCCTCCCCGCCCCCCCAGTGGATAGGAAAGTGAGTCAGAGGACTTAGGGTGCCCGTACCCACAGGGCTGGCCAAACGACATCTAACTGGGCCCAGAAGTTCCACACCCTAAGGGCTAGACAGTGCCAGAAGCCAACATGGCACACACTGAGGGTGTGACATCACTAAACGCACTTGCCCACAGGGCCCAGCCCAAGCCCTCAACCCCAACAGAGGGGTTTGAGAGCCGACTCTGTTGAGAAGCCACCAACACCCGCTGGGGCTCTCTCTGCTTTCCGAGGGTCACCGAGCTCCCACTGCCCAACGCCTGCCCGGCGGGCGGCCGAGGACGGGGCTACGGCAGCGGGAAGTTTCCCAGCCCTCGTCCACCTTCCGGGTGCCCCTTCTCCGCCCACTCCGCAGCCCGGAAGATAGGCTGGTGACGGAATGGCTTCGGAGAACCCTCACCTTTCCAACTGATCACCACGAATAAAAGCCTCGTCACCTTCAAGGGACCCTGTGAGGACAGACCCTCAAGCAGGCTGCAAACTCAACGCTGGGTGTGGCGAAAGGGCGGGAAAGCCAGCTTCTGCTTCCTGATTGGCCAGCGTCTCTGCCTACCTGATTGGCCAGCAGCCCTGCCTACAGCATTCTGATTGGGTGGTTTCTACACCTATGGCATTTGGTCTCAGGTAAGACACTCAACAGAAACTTCTGGATTCTAGGCTGCGAGTGACTCTTTCTGGGAGTACCAGCCGACAAGGCCTTGACATATTTGGTTCCTAGGTGCAGGCTTTATAACTCTGATCTGTATTCTCTGTCCACAGTGCAGCGCTGGAGCTAAGGGCAGATTCTAGGCTGACTGTTTTGGTTTGAAGCCTACTCTGCCACTCCTTCAGTTGCAAAGATGTAGAGAGACCCTGTAAACACTGTTGAGACCAAGTCCCCTCTTCCCCATCTTATAGGGCTATAAAAGTACCTTAGAATAAAAGTTTGAGGACTAAGTGAGATAATTCATCGAGGGTGTTTGGCGAGTGCCAACTGTCCTGGAAAGGTTTGCTGGTGTCATTCTTATAAATTTTTCAGATGAGTAGGATACAGGAGCTGACAAATACTGTGGGTTTTTTGCCAAGTGGAGAAGCTGGAATTCAAGCCATCTTCGTTCGATTCCAAGAGGAACCTCAGCCACTACAAGCTTAGGAACTGGCCCAGGCATTAGACATGGTGCTCTGGGTTATTATCCTAGATCCGCTAAGATCTTAGGTCTCCAGCAGCAGGTGCTGGGCATTCTGTTTCCCCCAGGCCTCTCATATAGTACAGGTGAGCTTTACTGAGCCAGTGCCTTCCTTTACAACCCGCAGCACGGTCTGTTAGTCGTTTCATGTTCAGTTTATATTCAGTTTAACAATGTAGAATTTGTCTGGTGCTGAGTTAAATAGATAAGGAAAGCATATGAGAACTGAGCTTCAGTCCTGATCATAGCTAGTTAGTGTGGTTCATATTGGGTTGCCTTATGAGAGGCATGGGCTAAATTTCACTCACTGTTGTGATAATATATAACAATCTATAGAAGCCTATATTATTATGGTATCCATATGTTATTATTGCTATCAAATCTTAAACTTCCCTCCTTTTAAATTTACTTTAAACAATTATAATAGAAGTCTAAGTGAATAAAATGTAATCAGCAGGTAACAGAACACAAAGGCAATGAAAAGGGGACAATATTTGACATTGTGTGAAGAGCTTGCCTCTTGATGCCATGTCTTCAGAGCTTGATCTTCGCTTAAATGGGTTCTTATTGGTCAGGAAAATGTCACAGGCAATTCAGAGCAAGCTGAGACTTCTATCTGAATTCCAGGGATCAGAAAGACTGAAATAATTGGAGGAATAACTCACCACGAGTACATGCCTTTTGATATGTACATGCCCCATATAAACATCCTTCATATCACCAGTGGGTTTTGTCCATGCATCTGCGGATCCAGGATTAGATGCACCCTGACAATCCTTTCTCTTCTAAGGCTTCCTAACCCTCAGGGTACTAGATACAAATTTTCAGATTCATAGAGACAGCCTTTCTGAATCAGCCCTTCCTAGTGCTTCAGTTTCATACAGTTTCCTGTGCCAGGCTTTCCCTCATGTACTATTTTTAATGTAAACACTTGGTGTCCTATTTCCGTTAGGTACAGTGAGTTATGAAAATATAAGAAGGCACTGGACAATTGACAATGGGTGTTGTCTGAGCTCGTTCCAGATCATGTGTTATGTTAGGAGCTTTACTCTCTGGCATTTCTGAAGTGGCTATTATCCCAGTTACATGGAAAAACTTACTCTCACGGAGCTTAATTCTTGCCCTGCTCAAGGGTCCACAGCCAGAAAACTACAGAACCAGATTCAGTTTTTCTGTCATTTTCTCTGCACCATTCTGGCTGTCTCCTAGGCCAGAATACCACTCACTGTGCTGGATTTTTTATTCCTGTGTTCCTATTTGGAGAGCCTTTAGAAATGTGATTGTGCCTTAAAACAGAGGTGCTAAGATTTGACCTCAAGTACATCTGAACAGTACCTTATATGGAGAAAGACTCTAATATGTAGAAAAAACCAGGGATGTTCTAACACAGAGTAATGATCATGGGAGGACATAGCAGGAAGGAGGGCAGTACAAGCTGAGAAGCCTCAGAAGGAACCAAACCTTTGCACCCCTCGACCTTGACCTTCCAGCCTTCAGAACTATGGGAGGCTATTTCGGTTTCTCAAGATGCTCTGTCAGCAGTATCTTTTTAGGTCTGCTTAGCACACTGACAGACCATCTCCTGATAGTAAATGATGCCACCCTGTCTCCCAATAGTTTTAGTTTTAATTGGCCATTGATAATGCATAATTATGTAGAGACAGGCACAAAGATATGGGGTGGCCAGCACATAGTGAGTGGCATTCCTTTTCTGAGTTAAGGACATCAACAACACAGAATAGAAAGTTCGAGCATTAGTGTCTTTCAAAATCAAGGCTAATTTAACATCAAAACAGCAGGAAGAATATAGTTTCAGAAGAGAACTGACTTTTGAGCACAGCTTACCCCATCTTCTTTTCCTTCCTCTCCTTTATTTTGAAGTGGAAGTTTCGCCTCAGACCTGTGTGCTGCATAGGTGTGCTGGAAATTTCTTGTAGGTAATAGCAGAAAAGAAGGGGGTTGTTAAGAAGAATTATTCTTTACATGGGTGTGCAAGGATAGCATTCTAATGGGAGAATCCTGAAAATCAAGTGATTATGAGGGCTGAAACCAGGTAAGCTGTGGGGTTCTGGACACACTGAATCTACTTCAGAATCTACCTAGTGTTTTCAGTAACTTGTCTCACTTCCTGTACTTAGAACTTTTCTTACTGGGCAACAATTTTCAGTAGCCTCTGAAAACTGCCTACCTACACACTGGCTTTGACTCCCTCATATAGATAGATTGGAGTAATGTCATTTTCAACAGGACAGCATTTGTTATTCATAAAGAATTAATTCCATATCCGTGAAGAACTCTGAACTCTGAACAATCACAGGTGACATTGCTGCCTTAGGTGACAATGACAACTTACTGCCGTGTGTTCCCTCCTTGACTAGCTAGCGATACATTCTGTCTTTGTGGAATTTTTTTTTCCCTAAGAAAGTAAAACCTAAAAACATGATCTGCTACTTACAGTTTGGGATGCTCACAGTTGAGACCTGAAAAAAAAAAATCTGTTGTTCTTACTAACTTTGCAGTAGCACTTTACCAGAACCCAACACAGGCTGCAGTTGTTGATTCGAATGTTAATCAAATAAAGGAGATTAAAAAGCTGGCAAATTCCTCATAAAGAGGAAAGTTGTTACAGAACAAGGCGATTAAGCCTTTAATGGAGTTGAGTGTGAGTGTCTCAGTTAGTTTTATTGCAAAATCTGGACATAAAGCCTTAGTTTCCAGGAAAACAAATTAGGTAAATTATATTACTTTTGCTGGATTTCAGGGCTCCTGTCTCTCTCCCCCGCCTGCTCATTATCAATTAAAAGAGCTAGTCACTATGTCTAAGGTTAGATGCTCTTGGGATTCTCAACTCCAGGCCCTGTGTACATGAATTTGGGAGGTAGCAGCCCTGAATGCACACTAGCATCATTATCTGAACGGCATGATCATAACCAGGAAGACCAGGAAAATTCCCTGTATGTCCAGATGACAAGGCCTTTCCCATGGCCAACTACGCAAAGGGAATTGGAAGACCTTGGCTACTGTGGTGGAAAGTAAAACTTAGCTTCATGGCCCACTGCCAGCTTCCAGGAGCTGGTGTCAGGCAATCATTTGTTCTTCCTCCCAGGGAAACAGCTCCTGAAAAGCCGAATGATGTTAGTAGCATGAATCTACTTTGCGCCTCTCCTACCTCCAAGTAAGCAACTATAGCTGTGTCCCAACATCTCTCTCCCTCTAAGACAGTGAGCTACCCAGACAGGGATGCCAGATAAAATCTAGGAGATTCAGCTAAGTTGGAATCTTACAGAAACAATGAAGAATTCCTAGTAGGTATCATATATGACACACTTAGGCTGAAACTTTACAATTTGTCTGAGATTCAGTTTGAACTAGGACTCCTGCATTTCTGTTTGCTAAATCCAGCATATCTCTAACCTCAACTGTGAGCACAACAGTGTGAATCCTTGTAGTCAAGTGGGTATAGAAGCCAAGGGAAAGAAGAAGCGTTCCCGCCCGGTGTTCAAAATATGAACGCAGATACACTCACTGTGCCAGAATTAGGCTCTCCTCTTCCTTCAGCGTCCCTGTGAGGCAAGCAAGGGTCCAGTTGTCTGAGAAAGCTGACGCTATTCAACAAAGCACTGTGCTTAACAGTTACTTGCCATGTCTTTTTGTTTGAAAATTCTTTGTGCTTAGCTTCTTAGATATCTCTTTATCTAGCAAGTTGTGTATATTTTCAGAAATCCACCAATCAGAGAATACCTGTCTCTGTCCCAAAATAAAATGTTTCTAATTCTATTATGTCAGACATCCATTCCACAACAATACTTCCTCTGTTTATTAAAGGCATAGATCCTGATCTAATGTCACCTCCCTCTGGGCATTGCGTTCCTCCCACCCCCTTACATTCTCATCAGCTGTCTGTGGAGTGAGGAATGAGCATCTTTATGAAAGGATTTATTAGGTGAATGAAGTCAATTACACTAGACTATAAGTGTGCTCATCTTTTGTTATGAAAAAATGGGTATGTGTATAAAAGCAGATTTGGAGAAGCATATAAGAGCATATTGGCGAAGATTGCTGATACTTATCATTAAGGATTTAAGGCAGACTTCTTTGTATTTATTTGGCTGTAATTTAACCTCTAGCGCCTTCTCTCCATTTTAAATTCTTCTGATCATTGCTCAACATGGGAAACCAGCCACATTCAAGCAGAGCTTCTCAAACCTTACACTGTGCTACAGTTACTCAACAGGTGTGTTAAAAAGGCAGATTCCGAGGCCCACCTTGAAGACTGACTCAGTAAATCTAAGGAGGGTCCCTCTGAATCTCCATGTCCAACCTCTCTTGTTTCTATGATAGCTTAGGTGGTCTGTGTGCGGACCATACCTGGCTTACGGCTTCCGTGGGCATCTTCTGCAAGGCTCAAATGCATGGCCACACCTAACTTGTTACATTCAGGAACATTTTCTCTTCAGATATTTATATAATTCCAGATCTGGTTAAGATCCACTTCGATAGAGAGGAAGATGTTTGGGAGGAAAGCCTACCCCAGCTTTGATCACTGAGGTGGGAAGAAGAAATGAGAGCACACGTTCAGGATCTTTCCATTTTAGCTCATTCCTTCTGTTTCCTGGCCTTTTTGTTGCTGCTGTTCTCTAGTTTTATTTACCATCATAATGGAAAGTTGAGAGCTCATGTCTGAGACATGGTTTATAAAATATATGCTTTTAAATGTGTGTTTTTGTACATAAAACTTTCCCTATGCCTATCTCTGCTGTTATGCCATGGTGTAGGACAACTTCTTTCCTACCCATGGTCTTTGCAGGAGAGTCCTTGCTGGCATCCCATAGCTGCTATTGCCTCCTGTGATAGGCTTTCCACAGAACAGTGGGATCAGCTGTTGAAAGTGGATCATGCTCTTCCCTCCTTTGAGCATTCCAGCGATTCTCTCTAGCACTGGGAACAAACCTTCACCCTGGTCCATGGAGCTCCACTCTTTTATTCTCTCTCTCTCTGAATCCTGGGACATGCTGCCAGCAGTTACTCTACGGTTGTTTCCTTCTGAGCCTCGCAGATGGACTCCTTATTATGCTTTAGGGAGCATACCAGCCATCTTCTCAGATCACCCCACCCTTCTCCATCCTCCGCCACAGCCCCTTCTTTGCTCCCACAAAACACTTGGTTGTATTTGGGAGAACGTTTCTGTCTCCATATCTGTGTGTTTGTTGTAGGTTCCAAGCTTGTCTCTTTTCTTGTAACACTTCTACTAAGGGAGAACAGTGTCTTGCTAACATTCTCTACCCTCTCCCTAATGAAATTTCTGACACACGGTAAATGCTTGGTGTCTTTATCTAGCAGCTAGGTAAACAGACTGGCCCTGGCTATAGCAGTACCCTAGAAGGTCAGAAAGATTAAAATGACTGTTGCCCCTGGTACGTTGCAGGATGCTAAGCCAGGCTTCAGCAGTAGAAGCTACACAGTGATATCTTCTGAGACCTCTGAGCAAGAAGTGGCTGGGCAGAAGTAATGCCATCCACACACAGCAGCCCCAACTAAGGGCATTCCCATCTCATCATTCTTCCAAAGGGCCCACGGAGCAATAGAAAGCAGACTCTGAGCTGTTCTAAAAGCCACACCAGGCCTGAAAAACTTCAAGAGAGCTATGTGTAGGAAGGACCTTGGGACTGTCTCAGCTGTGGATCATCATTTGAATAAAAATCAGATGACTTAGGATCTGTCCAAAATGAAGGATGTTTTAATACTTTGTGTGTAAAAACACTGGTATTTTGCTTCTGTTTTATTAAACAGATTTTATTATTTTTCAGAATCTTGTCAGGGTAATCGTTTTATGGGGAGATGAAATATTTAGCCCCGCACTGCAGGACTTCTTTCTCAGCAATTACCTTGTGGCACTTCCGCTGTAATTAGGTTTCCGCCTTGGATTTCTCCCTGCATCTGGGTAATAAATGAAATATGACTGGAATTTAAATTTGTCAATTACAAGCAAGCGCCATGGGTAAACACACAACAGAGCCATGAATTCCAAACCGCAGGCTGTTGCTGGGGGGGGGGGGACAGATGCTCCGAAAATTAAAATGGAAATAAAACTACTGACTGCCAAGCAAAAAGCAACCCTCAAAGAATGCAGATCTCCCCTAACACTCCTGCATGAGCCTTCCAAACTGTGAGCTCTTGGTTACAAATTCTCCTAGCTTGAAAATGGCAGTTCCAGGAGTGAGCAGTGAATCTGCCTCAAAATAATCCGTGGGGGCTGTGCTTGTCTGCCTAGGAATGCATTTCTTGATATAAGATCAGGCAGTTTGGAGAAGCCTTAGGACAGAGGGCCACGGCATCCTGCATACTGCCCGGGGCATGCACTCTGAGATGTTCTAGGAGATTTGGAGCTAGGACCTAAGGTCTCCCAACAGCTTTCCCTGACTTGACTTCAATTATCACTCATGTGGGGACCTCTGCTGACCAGTTCTTATACAGGGGGATGCCTTGGGATTTGTACTGCTAGAGACCCATCGTTATAGTTCATTAAAACAGACACATTTTCCACTATTAGAACCTCAGGGATTATGCACAGTTTACACGCAAGAACACTGAGGCTTGGAGAAGCTTAGGGCTGCTCTCCGGCTTACTCCGCTGGGCAGAAACTGTGCCTTTGTGTTGTTTCTAAGATTACCAAGAGGTTTCCCTCGGAACCCATCTCCCCAACATCCCTTCAACATATCACCTGCACTACCCAGACCCCTAAGCATTGTCTGCATTATTTCCCAGTCTTTCTCTCTGACTGGACTAAGCTGGCTGTGGCCGAGGTCAGGTCTCATTTTCTGTTTTGCCAAAAGACTCAACACCTTTATCCTCTTCAGGGATTCTTAAACCTTCGCTAATGTCAAACCCTTTATATACCCTAAATTTTCTTATATGTACTCCATGTCCTGTGTGGCTTAGGTCCTGGAACCCTGGCCGGGGTGGTCAGGGAATGGTGAAAGGACAGACTCACAGACACATGTTTATTAGGTAGTATGGAGAAGGGGGAGTGGCATGACTGGTCCCATGTCAAAATGCATACCCACTACCTACTTCACTTACTCACGGCTTCATCCACTTTCTGCATGTGTACATGCCTACGATAAAGCTACTTAACAAAGTCAGGCACAGTGAGAGATTAACAAAGATAATAACAAAATAAGCCAAATACAATATAGTTTTGTGTTGGTTTGTTTTCTGTTGCTGTGGTAAAACACCATGACCCAAAGCAACCTGGGATGGAAACGGTTCATTTGAGTTGTGCTTCCCCACTCCAGCCCATCACAGAGGAAAGTCAGGGAAGGAACGCAGGCAGAAACATGTTGGCAGGAGCTGAGGCAGAGATCAAGGAGAAGTTTACTAGCTAGCTTCTCCCCATGGCTTGGCTCATCTTACTTTTTCAAATCTAACCAAGGACCATCTGCCCAGGGTGGCATCAATCACATTGGGCTGAACCCTTTAACATCGATTAAAGGAACCATGACAGTTCTCAGTTGAGGTTCTCTACGTAGGTGATTCGAATTTGTGGCAAGCTGACATTAAAACCAGTCATCGCAGTATTATAACAAAAGTTATTTACAACTTCTGAACTACTTTATTTCTGGAATTTTCTACCAAATATTTTAAATGTGTACATGCTTTATACTATTAAGGCAGTAGTAACATGTTTGATGACAAGTAACTGAATCCATAAAAAGAGAAATTGCTGATAAGGAAGGACTCCTGAAATTTAATTCTGCCCCTGACCCAGATTGATCCAGGGCCAGTGAAGAAGCAACATGCTCCCGTTTCTACATAAGGAATCCCGTTTAGAGGGCAAAGAGGCTAAAACATTTCCAGTGGCTTAGTCCTTGCACCGAGGCCACATTTGATGGATCTGGAATGCAGTGCTCAGAAAGAATTATTAAGAAGAACCCGGAAGTTTCTAACACCCCAGCATGATGTGGTTCTAGGTTTAAGTCCTAGCTCCATGCTGCACATTGGAATGGTACTTGCCACTCTCAGGCTTTGGCTTCTGCCTGTACAAAATGAGGGCCATTTAAGAATTTACTCAGGAGGGCCATAGTAAGGATCACACTTGCCTTTCTCTGCTAACATATGTTAATGTCCCCTTTTAAGAAAAAAAAAGGAGGGATAAAAAACTTCATGGTTATCCAAGAAAGGGGTTAGAGTGGGAATTTCTTTTCTGTTGGCCCTATCGTTTCTGTCACTTACAGACTTCTTTCCCCGTGGTTTATTCTGGCACGAAGAAAGAGGAAACTGGCTCTCTGGAGGTCCCCAACAAGTTGACAGATGTCCCCTAAGGCAGCTTTCAACAGAGCACTATTCTTTATTATAATTATTATTCTCTGTGATTTACAGTCTGTCTATAAGCCTCTGGGCACAGTCATGGAGCAGGAATGGAATTAATAAATCTGATCTGTTTCCTTCTTAATTCATGGCACTGACAAAATTAAAAATGGAGGCGGACAGGGAGACTAAGCAGACAGCGTCCCAAGCTCAATTCCAGGGGCAGGGATATGTGACAGAGCACAATCCGGTCAGAGCCACAGCTACTACAGCAAGACAGACCGACTGTCTAATAGATCAAGGAAGCTTGAGAACTTCCCCAGAAAGCTACAAACCTTTCCAGTCCAAACCCATTTTATTTAAGGATTCTAGAGCTCTGGGATCTGCACAATGTGTTAAGACAGTAGGCTGCACAGCCAACCCCTGTAAGCCCGAGCCAGGGAGTGAAGGTCGCATATCTGGCTATGTGTAGAACTGTATTCCCATCCAAGTCTGAACCAGAGCCTTTGGCTTTAACGTTTGCCATGTTGGTTATGAATATAACATATTATATTTGCTTAAATATTTATTGTGCAACTATGAATTCATCCAAGTGAACAAAATACCCAGTATAGAAACGGAGCCTAATAAATGCACTTGGCAGTTTTAATGTCTTACAGTATTTTCCCATTGAAATTTGCCTCCTCCCTTATTTCCCAATCATATGAAAGTTACTACTGGGACAGGATTTCAGAGAAAAATACTGTTTCCCGAGTCACCAAATTCATTGTTAGGGTCTTAAATGTGCCTTATGGGCCCCAGTGCTAAGAGGCTTGGTTGTCAGCAGTACTGGTAGATGGTAGAGTCTTAGGAGGTAGTACATAATCAAAGAAATTTAGATCATGGGTGGGTGGTGTGCCTTTGACGGGCATCTTAGGATCTGGTTCCTTTTCCCGCTGTCATGAAATGGACGGCTTCCTCCATCCTACAGTCAGCCACCGTTACAGATGGTGCTGCTACAGGCTCGAAACAATGTAAGACCAAAGGACTGCGCACTGAACTTTCTGAAACTGTGAAGCCAATAAGCATTTGTTTAAGTCACTCGCTTTAAGCACTTTGTCATAATGACACCATGCAATAGCGACAGCGGAAATGCTGATGCTCAGGCACCGTGCTGTCTCTCACATTTCATTTTTCTCTAAAGTCGTGAGAGCCATGGAGAAACCTTCACATCACGCCCACCTTAAGAGTAGGCACATTTTCCCCATTACAGCATGCCCACTTTTTGCTCCTGGGAGATGGCTCCATGCACTGCTGAGTCAAGAAGTGACGAACAGGAATGCTCCCTCAGTGGACTTTTTGTCGCTATTCTAAGGACAGCAGGATTCAAACTCTCCCCTTAGCAAGATGTCAGATGACATCACTGGCCGTTGGGGTGTTTCCTTTTAGTCAATGCCAGCAGATGCCTGGATGCCATGTGTTGTGAAGCCCTAGGAGGTATTTCACCACCAATGCCAAACCAAACCCTCGCCTGGGCCACAAATACCTTCTCCACATCCTTAGGCTTGGGTACTATGGTCAGTGTGTTATTTTTAAGGTTAAATTTTTGATTAAAAGTACTAAAATTCTTCACCATAAATAAATAACCATTGTGGAGATATGTGTGTTTAACTTATTTTAAACATACAGTGCATACGTGTATCGAAATATCACATGGCACTGCATTAATATGTATAAATATGCAATAGATAAAAATTAATAAAAATGAAATTTAAATATAGTCAATGCACAGTTATATTTGATGTTAGAGAGATGAAATATAAAAGAATGATGAATGAAGTATTCAGAGGTGAATTAGAAATGCTACTTCAAATTTTTAAAAAGTAAAAAATAAGTCCCCAATCATCAAATGTTCCCCCCCAAATTAACAGTCACCTTCAATCTCTTAGAAAACTGTCAATACTGTAAAGCACAGCCTTCTAGCCTCCCTCCCTCCTATTGTACAGCTTTTGAGAAAGGATTGATCCTTCAAATGTCCTTAATGTTTAAGAAGACAAGAAAAGTCTTGTTATCCCTTCCAGAGAGAACCCAACCATAATCTCTATTATGTAAACGCTTTCAAAGAAGCAGTCTGTTCAAAGCTGTTGCTAAGGCATTTGTTGCTATAGCAATGCTTGGCCCTAGAGACAGCATACAGCCATCCTGACTCCAGCCTCCAAACACAACTACCATTATCTCCCTCACACCCTAGGGGAGGGCTCACTTTGCCAGAGCTAGTCATTGAAATTAGCAGCCATTTGAGTTTCCTGTGTGTGCTATCCTGTCCTGTCAAGGACTTAAAGCTGTTGAACAGCTGTCAGAAAAATACATTGACATTCTGAGGGTTGGGGTCAGCAATTCTTGATGCTTAGGGTATCTGAGGTAAGCAATGTTCTCCTCTGCAGTCTTGGCTGATTGTAAACCAGGGCATGGCAAAATTAGATTA